TGAGTGAGTTGGGTAGCCATATAAATTTAACAAATAAACAAACAAACAAACAAACAAATAAAAAATAACAGTCATCTTTAAAGTAAATCCAGTGAAATAATGAGATTAAAAATAGTTATAATTTGCTTGTGTTTATTTAGCCACAATGATCAAGTCCAGAGCCATTTAGCCCTGAATTTACTAACCATAGATCTGTGAATTTGTGTAAGTTGTTCCAGGGTGTACTTTGTTCACAACACAAGCATTTCTCTTTTCTTCCCAAAGTAAATAACTAGATTCAATTCACCAGGCAAGGAGAAGGATCACCTAGTTATTGGTATTGCAGGAATGCACTGCAATCAATTAAAATTATTTAAAGCAGTGTAAGATCAGGCTATTTATAAAAAATATCATTTTTAAAAAGAGAAAGGGATTTTCTTCTGCCCCCTTTGGTTGATAGGAAAAGCGATTTGCTAATTTCTGCTTTTTCAACACTATATTCCAAATTACTCATTGAATCAAAAATTCAGGTCTATGAAGTCCAACGCTAAAATGTGCAGCTGTTGCAGCAACAAAAAAGAGTTACATTATATTTGTTGGTTTAGAATAAAGACAATTAAATGGATCACGTCTAGTTTAGACATTTTTTTAAAGATGCCTTTAACACTGTCTTCGCACTGAGTTGCTGCATCCTGAATTTCATTCAGTCTAACTAGGTATTTCCTTTTTTTTTTTTTGAGAAGTGGGTAAATCTTAAGTTAACTAAGAGGTAAGCATACCTACTGTCAAAAAATGTAAGCAAAATCCTAACTATAACATTCAGTCCTTTTGAATGTTATGAAGAATGTGCATTTTTCTCCGGCAATCCTTCCTTCCTTCCTTTCCTCACTCATCTTAGCAACAGACGTAATGCAACCAATCAACCACTGCTTCGTCACTGCTCCAACATCACAGGCTGAGGTTACTATAGTGCAATGACTGATAGTAACCGAGCATGAATGAGAGAGAGCTGCTTCATGCGGCACCTCAACTGCAATGCACCTGCCACACAAGAACAGGCTTTTCCTGAATTCTCTGATTAGAAACGACAAATCATATACAATAAATCCTATTTTTCACCATTTGCATTTCAAAAGGTAGGGGATGGAATCTTCCCAACCCAATACAAGATGTACACTTGTTATATGAGTGTGTCAGAGTAGAATTTATGACACCTAAGCTTTTTTGAAAGGTGAAACAATGGGATATTTATACCACATTATTTCATTTGCCAGCAATGGGTATATTCTACTTTAATAGTTTTTAAATAGTGGTTTGCAGATTAAACATAAATACTTAACCAATGAAGTCTATTACTGGATCAACTTTATCTTTAATTCTGATAGTTGAAAAAAAAAACCTAAGATATATATGCAGCTGAACAAAATACATTAATTTGCATAGCAAAGATAAACATATAAAAAACAGCTGCCTTTCTTAATAACCTGAAAAAGTTGAGAATGTTTCAGACATTTGCTACAAAATGGAAAAGCAAAATATTTAAGAGCATGCAAGCATTTCAGTAATGAATAGATGCAGAAAAAAATGGGATTTATGCAAATATCCTACAGCTTTATTTGCAATAATTAGTTATAGCATTTGCAGTATTTACTATAAATCTAACTTTTATTGGGGACTGCATAGGAATTAATCAGTAGATTGTACCAGAAATGTTGTAAGAGTCCTTTACACTTTCTGTTTTTAGGTGAATATTTAATAGCATAATTGTAGCATGTGTGTACTAGCATGCAAGTCTCACAATGTTTAAAGGCGGTTATTCCCAAGTGTTCAGCAAATTGCAACATAGCCCTTTAAAGCCAAATTATCAACTCTGAAAATATAAGATAAATAAGAACATGAATTTCAAGCAAGTACCAAATAGATATATTTCTCAGAAATACAGTGTTGATTTACAGCTAAAACTGACAAACAACCTCTATAATTATTTAATATTTCATTAAAAATACTATTTCAATATTTTGCAACCTTTATCTTGTTTAGACCAGATGGCAGGGTAGCAAAGGATGAAATAAGCTATGCTCAAATGCATTAACATGCTGAATATAGGTAATTCTGTCTTCACTAAAAAACAGAGGAGCTAAAATGGTAGCAGAGTAGCAGTATGAGATGAGAGCTCTATATATTTCCATTTTGTTTTGGTTTTAAGTTTTCTGATGATCTTAGAGTGCTCCTCTTTGGTATCCATAGCATGCCTTTACTCAAAATACGCCAAACAGCTTCTTGTTATGAGTATAAAGTGCATAATATAGGGAGCTGACTTCCCACAGGCATGGAGTGAATATTATTATCATTGCTATAATTAGTCTTAAGAATCTATATTCACCATGAATACAATATTTACAGACAAAACACATATTTGGGCTGTAAAAATCTAAGGTTATCAATAGATGGCAGCAGAGATATTCAAAAACCAATACCTCTTTGCTGCCCTTTAGTGGTCATCAGTATTTTTACAGTCTAGATCTTGCTCCTCTTGTACAAGTAGCACAATAAATATAGTAGACTATGTGCACAGAAATTAAAGGGAAATTGTACTTCTTGTTGAGTATGGGAAAATGTAAAATAGAATTCAAATCAGCTCGAGGAAAAACAGCTAAATCAGTACAGTATACAATATCAGCCCTCAATTATCTAAGACATGGGTGTCAAACTTGCCACGTCACGTGATGTGTCACGACGTATCACGACTCTTTTTGCATTGCCGGCAATGGGGTGGGCATGGCTTTGGTATGATGAAACCGGCCCACAGGCCGGCAGTTTGACACCCCTGATCTAAGATCTTCAATGGTCTTAGAATTAATTTTCTGAATATTATGTATGGATGTTATGGTGGCAAAAAGTGCCACCTAATATATTGTCATATGGAAGGATTCATCTATTTCACAGGAAACAGCCAGAACCTGTTAAATTCATAAACTATCCTATGGGCAATAATCAAAATATCTGTTTGAAAACAGTAATCTTCAATACTATAGCATGGTAAAAAGTATGTTTTACTTTTTTTTCATTAATATCTTGGCACTTCCATGCAGTTTTCTTAGCAACAGGCCAGAAGCAGATTGCTCCTGCATTCTTCTGATCTGTTTTTTCAGCTGTCCATCATCCTATTCCACTGAATGTTTGGTGGTCTCCCATTCAAGTACTAACCAAGTCTTGACCTTGGGGTTTTTCAATCATAGCTACTTGCTCTCATATGCTACTTAATCTATTTTATAACCAGAATTGAAGAGGACAAAAATGATAACATTTCTCTTCCTATAATCTACTGATTCTGCAAAGAAACTTGGAAATAGGCTTTGATTCAAAGAATGAAGTTCTTGGGGAGTTGTGCGTTTCTTGCTGAATCCTCAATTCCAGGCCTCAAAGGTAAGTGGACAGTCTGGAACCTGAGCTAGGTTTGGCTCTCTACAAGGACCATCAATAACACTTCCTCTACTGGGAGTAATAAGCTGGAAGATTCATAAAACATAAAGCTTTCTCCTAAAGCTATTATATCCTACTAGCTCAACACTAACCATTTAGATCCATTCTTTGTTCGCTCATTACTTCTGTGCAAAATGGACTTCAGTCTCTATCATGCTGAGTCTTTGAATTAATCAAGGGTTTTGATTAAAGGAGAAGGGAATCAGCATTTTAGTAGACTATGTGGAAAAAATTATAGAGAATTACACATCAGAAACAAGCCATGCTAAAACTCTGTGCATCACTATGTTCTGAAAGGGTAAAACAAACAAGTGATATCATACAGCCAAATCTAAAGACTCAGGTGAAAATCTAATTGCTTCATAATAAATATGGGACATTAGCCTCAAGAGCTTCATTTTTTCTCTAGAGTAATTATCTCAATAGATGTATTGACTAATGGAAATATCATATGTGGCTTCTTCCTTCCTGGCAGAATATACATCATAAAAATTAAAATATAATGTATAACTTTAGTAGTCCAGAATCATTCCTGTTGAATACTATAATTCTGTCAGCATGTTCCACTCAGTTTTAACTAATTGCTATCATGTTGTTTAATGTCATTGGAAATTATCAGTATGATATAGGTTTGAAATTGGGTACTAAATTGAAAGCACTGATTTTCACTAACTGAAGTTGAAAAACAGTATGGATGAGTACCCATTCTTTTTAGCAAACATTTCAGAAATGCCAAAGACAGCTTTGAACAGTTTTTATCAGAACACATTTTACAATTCTTAATCACGTAGATCAAACATGTCAAACTCGCAACGTCACGTGACGTCGCACAACATATCGGGCCGGTTTTGCCATTGCCGGCAATGGGGTGGGCGCGGCTTCAGTATGATGAAACCGGCCCGCGGGCCAGCAGTTTGACACCCCTGATGTAGATGGTGCTTATAGTCTTTTACAACAATTTTCTTTTGAAACACAAACTGCAAACTGTATTAACCCTTTCTTGGTTTTCTATAAATTTGCAATGTTAATGTATTAAAGTTCAATTTGACAAATAGGGGTTGCAAGTTGTTCCAAGAGACAGGAGCTCCCACAGGGAATGCCCACTTCCATATCTTCGGCAGGCATTCTCTGGTCAGACAGTTGGTCAGGTAGAATCTATCTAAGAAAGGTAGCCTCACAAATATACAGCCCCAACTTTACAGGTAATAATCAACATCTTGAATTGCACTCAGAAACGTATCAGCAGGCAATGCAATTGTCACATGTAAAGAAAATTACAGTAACTGAGGTACAAGATGACAAGTTATAAATGATAGTCTTCAGTATTTCCTGCTCTAATAAAGGCCACAAGTGGTGTACTAGCCAGGCCCCTCTTGGCCATGGCTTCCAGCCACTGTTCCAGCAAGAGCTGCAAGTCCAAGTGGGCCCGTAAGTTGCAGGTTGCTCTTCAAAATGGAGTATTACTACCCTGACAGCCCCAAATTAGTAGTAACCCAGAATCAGCAGGGTTCTGAACAAATATATTCATCCTAGCTTACCCTTCTTGTTCCACCAGGGTCCTTCTGGTATAGCATAGGAGAGGTCTTTAAATTCAATATTCACAGCTGGTCTTCGAGGAAGGTAGGAGAAATGATGGGCTTCAGTCAAAACATTGTCCATCTTCTTTAAATGGCCATTGAGCAAATGAACCTCCTGTGTTTCTGTACCACCAGAGACCACCTCATCTACTGAAACACATATTGACTTTGACTCAGGCATAGTAGACGAAGAATTACTGGCATTCTAGAACACAAGAGGAAAAAAGAAATAAAACATAAGCTTTCTTATGCTCTCTCTCTCTCTCTCTCTCTCTCTCTCTCTCTCTCTCTCTCTCTCTCTCTCTCTCTCATTATAAATGCAATTATTGTATATTTGTCCCAGAACAAGTTGCATACTACTACAGAAAAAGAGTTAACTCTATGATATTCTGCTGACATTATTTTACAAGAAAATATGACTGTTCGGAGATAGGCAAATCAATTAAAGTGCGGCCTACTTTCTCATTTTTCAATTGTAAATTTGTTCTTCCTTTATGCATCATTCTTTTTTTAGTAAACTTACATGACAATTATTTCGTTGTTTATCCTCTTAAAGACTTTTGTGCATGTTTTCCCCCACCCCCCATTTAAATAGCCCTCTGCACCACAATATATTGCCTCATAACTGCAGTTCACTTAATGTGTAAATTCAAGAATTGTAAACTGTGTTACTGAAAGGACTACTCCAACTCCAGTGTTCATTTTTGCCAATCTTAAATGTCTTACATTGGTTTCTTTGTCTGTAAATGGATGCTTACATGTTTCTTTTTCATAAAACACCTGAGATCTTCCATTTGTATAAATAAGCAAGAATCCAGTACACTCATAATACTTCAGGTTTTGTGTACCCCCTCCTTTTTTTGCCTCTGTCAGGTCCACATAATGTTCATACTTTATCTTAGCCACAGTTTAGTATTGTACAAAATTGTACACTAAAGTTAATTTTAACTTTAATTATCATTTGGATAATCTACCATTAAGGGCATGCTTCCATTAACCATAGTTAAAACCAACTGCACATTGTCTGACCCAAATACCATAAGTAAAAGCTTTCTATTTTTCTTTGTGGCTATGCTAGGGGAGAAGATGGTAACATGTGAGACAATGTTTGTTACTGTTTATTCTAATACTGTATGCCAGCTCATAACTGAATGAATATCCACAGGTACAGTGTAATCCCAGGCAACAGCGAGTAACAATTTCATTAGTACAGTACAGTCAATATGGAAAGCTTACAACAAACACTCTATTGCTAAGGCTAGGCTAGGCACCACAGATAAATTTAAGTCCTGGTTGTACTTTAACAAAGAAAGCCAATACCCAAACAAAATTAATACTCAATGTGCTTATAATGTAGGAAAGCTACAGAATTAACATTTACCCAAATGATTGTTCATATAACCATGGAAAAAATATCAGTAAAGTCAGCTAAAATTATTGTTTTCATTTTAGGTCACAATATGTGATCATTTAACATTTTCAAGAGCCATGTAGCATTTATGTGCTTTCAACTCTTTCTTCTGATTCTGGATCTTAACTTTGTGTATGAAAGTTTATGTAAAATCCTTGTTTAGGATTAGATCCTAAATTTGTTTAGATTAGATCCTCCAAGCCAGGCACAGTCTGTTAGGATGTGTGGCATCAACTTGTAAAGACAGTACTTGCAGTATAGTTGGCAAGGCTAATTGGATGAACATCCAATATTCAGGAATACTGAAAACTATTCATCCATATTCCTCAAGATTTTCTGCACTGATCAACAGCACCTTTCAAGTGATTCAAACTGATGTCTTGTTTTTCACAGCTTTTTTTTATTCCACCTGCAGAACACCCAAATAAGAAATCAACATATCTGTATCCCCTCCCCCCTTTGTATTAGCTATTTTTATTTGTTGTGTCAATTTACTCACTGTTTCAAGCCAGCTCAATGCAACTAGAGTGTCTTTCCAACAATGGGGAGACTGCCAACTTTGCATGTAGCCCATTTGCAAATCTCCAAACATAATTTTATCGGCCAATTCTATGTTAAAATAAAATCTGGAGCCCTGAACACACATTGATTTCACAAAATATCACTTTACTACATATTGTGAGGAGTTTTTGAAGAAAAACCAAGTGGAAAATGCTTCATTTTCCTTCCTTTGGTTACAGACTATACTTCCTTAGTTTGTGTACTGCCAGACTTGTTTTCTGAAGAATAACTTTCCTTCCTCAGATCCAGTGAGCCATTTTAAAAAGTATTATTTATTCTCCATGCCGGAACTCATCTAGACCAATATGTGAATCCTGCAAGTTATATAAATGATGCTTGAAATAAAGTATTGTGATCTTATGAGACCACAAAGTTGGGAAACTGCTTTCTAACCATTTGTAGAATTCTCTTGCAGAAGCACCTCTGATTCCAAAAAAGGTAACTTGGGCATAGCTCAAAGCACGTCATTTTGATGTTTGCTTCTGTTGTCTTGTTTAGACAGTTCTTTTGCAGTGCAGAGGGAAAGAGAAACATGCAATTTGGACAAGAATTCAGGAATTGAATTTAAAACCTCAGATGATCAAATGAGCATTTCAGAAATAATTAATTCTAATTTGCTTCTGGCTGTGATTCAAGATGCTGGTCGCCACATATAAAACCCTGCATGACATATGGCCTGGTTATTTGAGGGACCACCTGTTTCCCATTGTATTTGACTGGCTGGTTTAATCCTACAGATTTGCCACGCTCTGGGTTTTAATAATTAAACAATGCCATCTCCCTGGACCCCAGAAGCAGACTCCTCTACAGCAGCACCTGCTTTCTGGAATGAGGTTTCCACCAAATTGGAATAACTCCTACTCTACTGGTATTTCAAAGAGCCTTAAAGACATGGTTCTTCACCCAGGCCTTTGGTGAGGATAACTGATGCCCCTTTCTTCTTCTTCTTCTTTTTCTCCCACTTTTATTTGCTATCATTGTTCTTTTGTCTTGTGCCATTTTTGTGACAGTTTTGTTTTTTTTCTTAAATGTTTTTAACAATTGTAAGCCACTGGGAGTCAGGCAACGTATAAATTTAATAAATTATTTCCCCTTTAAAATCTTCACCTACCTACCACATGTAAGAGTTTTTTTGAGTATGAGGCACTGAATTTCTTTTAGTAATAGTAAATTCAGACATCCTGGTAATGTAAAGATGCTTATTATTTGGGGAAATGAGAATCCATAGAAAAACCTAACACATTCTGGTAGAGAGAAGTTCCCCGAGGATGGGCTCCGGCACAAATTGAATGTTTGGAAGACTAAACCTCTGATCCCCATGACCGACCCAGATTGGATCCTGCAATTGGATAATGTAGAAATGTAGAAAGAGTCCATCATTCCAAACTATAATGAAAAGCCTTTAAATAGTATGTATATCTAACTTTTAATTTATGTATGTCTAACTTCATGCATTACATGATGTAACAGATATGTTCTCTATCTCAATTTAGGTAACCTAAAACCTAATGTAATGCTCATTCCACTTTCCTGTGGCTCTTTAAATCCAGATTTCATCACTTGGGAGGGGGATTTAAATCTTTACACAACAGAACTGTAAATCCATTCCTTAGCCAGCAAATGTCCTTTGATTTTAAAAAAAGTTTATCTTCCAACTAAGATTAATTAATTTTACGAAAATCGACTTTCTTGTTCCTTTTACACCAAATCCATCATTATATAATGAGCTGGAAAGGAGAAGCGTTCTCGAATCACAGGATGCGCCCGTGACAGTCTGAGCATGCTCAGAAAACCATCCTCTTCCCCCCTCCATTTTTTTTAATGAGCGCAACACTAAGGTAACTTTCGGTCAAACCCTGCTATATGCAGCTGACTTCAAATACAGGATGATGTAAATGTCGCCCTCCACACACACACACACACACACACACACACAACACACAGCTTATCCCGCGCCGAAGAAAATAAACATAAGCCTTTCGATTTTCACCAGTCTATTTTGTTACAATAAATCAGACCTTGAATAACTTTGGAGGCTTTCAGTGAGGGCATCTGCCGCCGAGCCAATGGGCAAATGCATTCCTATAAATTACATTAGGGGATGATTTGCATTGTGAAAATGACGCTACACCTTCCCGCGCCTGACATTAAAAAGCCATTTCCGTGTCAAGGGGGAAAAAAAGCAAACAAGCCGCAGCCAGGAAACACCCGGCAAAAAAAGAAAGAAAGAAAGAAAGAAGGAAGGAAGGAAGGAAGGAAGGAAGGAAGGAAGGAAGGAAGGAAGGAAGGAAGGAAGGAAGGAAGGAAGGAAAGAAAGAAAGAAAGAAAGAAAGAAAGAAAGAAAGAAAGAAAGAAAGAAAGAAAGAAAGAAAGAAAGAAAGAAAGAAAGAAAGAAAGAAAGAAAGAAAACATGCGCTCACCACAGCAATTTGTGCACTGGGAAATAACGCAAGAGAAGAGGCGAAGGATCCTTCTTCTGCCCCTCCAATAAGAGCGAGGACTGAACCGTGGCAAGGGGAGTCAGATCCAGGAAGGCGCCGCTAACCCACCTCCGAGCAGGCTCTCCAGGTCCCTTCTGGAGAGGAGAGCAGAGAGCGCGGCGTCCTTCCCCCTCGGTCTACATGAAGGACCTCCGCGCTTTGAACTCGGCCTCCCCTCTCTGGGGCTTCTAAGCGCTGGGCTTAAAAACAGAGATCCAGCTAACCAGCCCGGCTTCCCTTTCGGAAAAGACGCACAAGCCTCCGGCTCCGACCAGCCAGAGGGGCAAATGCAAGATCAAAGGGATCCAGACGCGGAAAGCGAGGGCAGGGAGAGGATGATAGGCAGCAGGAGTTCTCCACGCCTCCAAACTCAAGCCACACTTTCTGTCAGGTCCCCTAAATTGCACCTTTTTTTTTTTGGCTTGTGCAATTCTTCCCACGACTTTCGAGCTCCTGGCTGCCTCTGGCGGTGGAGGGGAGGGGAGGGGAGGGGAGGGGGGGCGTATGCAAAATGCCTACCGCAAAGGTAGGCAAGGTAAGAGCCTGCTATGATCAGTAGAGGTTGGAGATGCTCCAACCAGCTTGGAGCTTGGAGCATTCCAGCTTGGAGATGCTCTGATGTGGTACCTTATCAAAGAAGGGAGGGGAAAAGAAAAAAAAAAAAAAAAGAGAGAGAGAGAGAGAGAGAGAGAGAGAGAGAGCATCTAACTTACCAGAACGGCGCCCATGGAGAAAGCAGCCATCAGA